CATATAGGGGTTTTTTTTTCATGAACTTAAATGGCTTCTTTTCTGTGTAGGAGTAACTGTTACTGATTTTTTTCATTTAAAAGCACAAGCACTTATATCTTTCTTTGTCATCAGTAAGAGCCTTCAAAGGATTTTCCCCAAAGTTATTGAGATGAAAGCCAGTTTTGAAAGGACTGTTGAACCTGGGTATTATTTTATTTATTTTATGTTTCCACAAGTCTAGACTCGATTGCGAGATATGCAACACAACCACTGCTCCTGGAGTTATTTACTCTGCAGAACGCAGTCAAACCTATTACATATTGTATGTAACCTCTTTGAAGATGTTTGAAAGTATAATGTCTGGCGCACTGGTGGATGTGTCATAAGAAATAAAGTGTCTCTCTGTTGTTGCCTATTTAGTTCAGGATAAGTTTTTTTTTTTTTTTTTTTTTTTTTAGTGCAAGTAAAATGAGAGCAAGAAATAAAGTTTGTGTGACCAGCACAAAACAAGCTGTGATTTACAAACTTTACGAAGTTTGAAAAGATCTATCTGTGTCTCACAATATCGTGAGAATATCTTCCTTCTGTTCACCAAGAGATACACAGCAAGGGATGTTTCTGGAATATTTATACAGTCTTATGTGTTGCTCAATATGCTGCAGTCAGATAAATAAGCAGTTAAGGGATAGATATGTCATTAATTTCCAAAATGTTATGCATTTTGTGTACAGTAGTCCCTCACTTATCGCGGGGGGGTTACATTGATAGGTGAAAATCCGCAATGTAGGAACGCTATGTTTGTTTTACTATATTGTTTTATGTATTGTATTGTACAGCATATTGTTTTTGTACTACTAGTGCTTAGCATATTTTTTAGTTTAACATATTTCTTAGTTCATATCTTAGATCTTATTACTATTTTTCTTTACAATTTATACTTTTGTTGGAGATAACTGGGACCCTGTGTACACTATTTCATGCCACCAAATGTACCACATGTGGTGCATATAATAAATGAAGACACTTTGACTTTGATTATTTATATATATTTTGAGGCTTTAGAAGCTCTTCCCACTTTCTTGAAATGTTCTAAACTCTTAAATCTACATAATTTTAACAACATGTACAGTACTGCACAATTTTACATGTGTACTCACCTGTGGATACAACGTGAAGGATGAGTTCAGCTTCAGGATTATTTGTGACTTCCCTGCCAGTTTTGTGAGCCTTAGATAGATAGTTACTTCTGACTTTGCGTTGCAAAACTATTTTTACCACATTGGTTTCTCCGCTAGTGTTTGCTCCCTCCATTGTTGTTCTTTGAATTTCGGCAGAAAGCAGCAGCCGGAAGCACTGTTGGCTTCTGGGTCGTGTAGTTCTTTTGACTTGCGTTACAAAGTAGGCTTATTGAAAGAAAACTACAAAATGGCGGCGCTTGTCTGAAGTTTTTTTTTTTTTTTTTTCCTATTGGTTGGTTCCCGCTCCCGACTGCTCTTGTTAACTTTTTATCCCGTACCATCCCAATCACGTGAGTAATATTAAAGTTGACAATCGTGTGTCGTGTACAAGCTTACGTTGAAAACCTGCGAAAGAACAAGTCCGCTAAAGTCGAACCGCGAAGTATGGACTACTGTACATGCCGTGTTAAGGACATTTTAGATGTGATAGTGACTCATAGACATTCAACATAAGTGTATCAGTTTAAGATCAATTTAAAACTTGACGTGTAAGTATTTTGTGTTTGATTGTACACACTTTAATTTGCATTTAAGAATAAGAAAATGAATTGTTGCCACTATGAAATGGACACGTTTCACTGTTGGGGAGATGATTCTCTCCACCTCGAACAAGTCTCATCGTAAACGTTGAGTATTAACATCAGTGCCACCAAAATTATATTGGCTGCTTTTTGTGTTTGTCTAAACAAGAGCCTGTGTTCTGCTCTCATCGGTTGAAAAGAGTAAACTTGAAGAATAAAAAAAGTTTTCATCAAAAGCCTCAGATTTTGTTTGCCTGCAACTGATTTGACTAAACTCTACAAAGAACTGAACAAAAAGCCAAAGTGTCAAAGCTCAGCAAAGTAAAAGTAATCTGAAATTTTACTGAATCACTGAAGAGGCAGTCTGTTGTCTAACCAAGCTAACCTAACAAGCTGCTTTTTTATTTTTATTTTTTGCAAAATCTCACAAAACAGCAAATTCACGACAGGACCAAGTAAACCGGTATCTGAATATTCAAAAATGAAAAGTCAAAGTGTAACTTGCTTAGAGACACTCTGCATAAAGAAACACATTTATGATAGAAGCAGACAAACTTTCCACACTTGTTTCAATATTTGATTGTGTTTCAGTCAGCTAATGTTAATAGGCATGGCCTAAATTTGAGTTGCAATCATCTGTTTCTGATTATAAGCAACAGATATTTGCATGCATTTCTTTTTCCTCCCACAGGCTCTGAATAATACATCATATACCATTGATTTGATTAATAGAGGCTTAAAAGTAAAAGTGCATTGCATTCTCAAAATATCCATTTCAGGCTTTTTTTCGCTCACAGTCCAAATAAATGTGTGATTTGTATTGAGAAGTGTGTGCATAAAATGTGATTACTGTGCTATAAAGCTAGCAAATTTCATCAGCGTGCAGAGAGGAGACAAACACACCCAACACCTTCATTTGCAATGAGATTCTTGTAAAATAAAAAATAAAAATCAAACACCAGAGATGAACTTGTGCTTTCATAACTGCCTGGTATTTATTTCTTATAAAAAATTAATCATTCTTATTATTTTCTAATGAATGAATGCATTCGTGGAGCTATATTTGTTTTCTTCTGCCCTACTCACAGTTTACAGTTTATTCTGTAGCGGTGTGCTTGACTGCACTCGAGCCATTCATCAAGATGCTGCTTTCTATTATTTGGTGCAGTCAGATGAAACTGAGAAAGGGTTTTGGGGGTGGTATGCCTCATTCTTCCTCCACTAACTCTCTGTTCTTTGAAACGTGCACGCTTCATATTATTCCACTTTAGGCCTAAGCTAGTGGTCATTAGATGAGTCAGTGAATTTAAACATGCAACAGGGTTTTATGATGGGTAGGTATTCAAACATAGGCTCACCACGAGCAATGTTTTCATAGATTTAACGTGAAAACCGAGCTGCATAAAAACAACAGAAATCAAACCCTCCATCTATAATCGGCCACTCTTCTTACTCCTCCATTTAGGTATAGTCACAAACAGTTTTATTTTCTTGTAAGCTTCACATTTTCTACATACCCACCCAGGCCACAAGGCGTGCAGAATCAATAACGCAAGTATCATTTTCTTTGTTTCTAATATTGTCAGAGCTCAGATTCCATCAATCCACAGGCTGAGCTGCATTCTGATAAGAGCATGAACAGAGCTGGGCTGAGATGAAATGAAATAGTTTATTGCTAATGTACACGCAGCAGCCAGCTGTTTTGAACATCTGTATATTTCTGCTCTACACCTGCTGCAAAGACTCCATCCCTGGGAGGAGAAGCCTCTACGTCTATGCAACAGCAGTCCTCTTGTTTTTGCAGTTCTCTTCGAAAATCAAATCAAATATTTGTGTTTACAATGACGATGTTATCTTCTTACCCAATTTACATTTCTACCTATTTTGGCTGTGCAGGTAAATATGTGATTCATGAGGTGTTGTCACTTGATTCTGTATGAAAGTTAATGCCGCCGTAGAGAGATGTGTCAGCAGCATTCTGAATGTGTAGCGCAGCAAAAAGCTTGACTAATCTCATGTGTGCTGACATTCTGACTGATGATCAGTGTGCTGGTGGCCCACCTGAGTGTGGACCATAATCTCTTGGCTCAGGGTGATATCGCCAGGTTCAGCTTTTATACTGGAGTGGCCCTTTTTCAGCTGTCATGAGAGAAAACCACAGTCTTTGGTCAACATGATTGTAATAAGAAAGAAATATTGTGAAAAGGGGGAGTGGTGTCAAGCAACCGATTACCTCTTAAAGAGTTAGACCCATGAGCAGGCTGATTTTAGAAATGTTTTGATTTTTTAAAAGCACAACAACAACAACAAAAAACATCAAATATCTGATTGTAGCTGATTATTTAATAATAAATATTAGTTCTATTTTTGCTCATATTTTACCATCTCATGAGTCAAAGATTAAAAGCTGAAGAAAGGCTGAATTGAAAAGTGATGGAGAGATTCTCGTTCCATTATTTTAGTTTATATATATATATATATATATATACACTTAGTTACACAGTAGACCCTTATTTATCACGGTGGATCAGTACCCTGAAGACCCACGATAAGTGAAAAGATGCAAAGTAGGAATAGTAGCACAAGTAGTAAGTAGTAGTTTATTTTATCATTTACACACACACACACAGGGTGTGTGTGTTTTAAACTCTTCCCACACTCTTGCAATTTCCTAAACAATGTTTCTAAACTCTAAACACTAAAAGAGACAGAATGTCATGATTTCAGCTCTCTGCCTCCTCTGCTCTTTGCCACCTGCAAGTGCTCTTGGCCACGCCCACTTCTCTGCTCTGCAAGCTAAGCAGCTGATCAGCAGTTCAGCTGCAGGAGGAAGCTTACCCTGCAGCTCTGGGCTGCACAAATGTGCAGCAGGTGCTAAATAATTTAAAACAATTTATTTTAAATAAAAATTCCATGCGGCTCATCCATCAATCAAATTGTGTGTCATGTCCAATCTTATCTTGAAAAACCATGATAGAGCGAGTCCACGATAAATGAACCGCCAAGTATTGAGAGATTACTGTATTTACAAATTAAAACAACAAAACCTGTTATATTTTTCATAATGGTGCAGTTTACCCACAATGAACAAACTGAGGACAACAGACTCAACACCATTTATAATATAAAGTGATTTATTTACAGTGAAATAATTAAACATGCTATATACAGTGGGCACATCCTGGAAACCCTGGAAGGAAATGAAAGACGTCAGAAGCTACGCGGAGCAGTTTGATAATGCAGGTGGTAGATATCTTACATGGCGTTGGTGGGCTGCATAGAGAGGAAGGCTGGGGGTTCCAGGATAAAGAAGGTCCCAATGGAAGGAGCACAAGCAGAGCATGGAGGCAAATGGTTGGAAGGTGTAGGAGCAGATCCACAAGGAAGGTTTGCAACTCACAGGTAAGCACAGGGGTCGAGGAAAGCCATGGAGGTGCAGGACAGAAGGCTCAGGAACCAGGTTCTGTGCGAAGGTGAGGAGAACAATAAGGTAAAATTAACTTACTCAGGAGGATTAACACAAGGAGGCCGAAAACAGAAATACCAGAAGGTAAGTAATGCTCCAGCAGGGAGGAAGCTCTTCAGCAGCCTCTTATTGTGGCTGACTGTCGTTACTGGTATGACTCTCAGCTGTTGGTAGTTGGCTCCTTCTCTGGACTCAAGAACCTGCAGGAAGAGCTGGAAACCCTACAATACTACAAGGACAGTAGGGTTGTCTTGAAATTGGTAAACACTAAAATATACACTAATGTCAGGTGCTGATGTTTCTGCCTGCAGAGCTGAAAGCCTTTGTGTTTCGAGGGGTTCTCCCAAAGGCACATGACATAGGTGCAGGTGCATTCATCATTTTATTTCTGAGCCATCTCAGATCGTCAGTGAACTGAACAACCCTCATACTGCTGTAACGGTTAGTTCTTTTTCCCCGAGCTTGTTTTTACAATAAACCTCTGCTATGACTCACCACAACAACCTTTACTTTTATCAAGATCACACTTGTGTCTGTACATGCTTCTATACTCTATCTGCAATCCTTTCTCTTTCCTTATTACTTCTTTATTCAGTTTGAAAACAGCAGTCTGGAAAATAGACTCCTTCCTTCAATGGTGGTTTTAGACGACAAAATCTCATTCACTGTGGACAATGATTAGAGAAACTTTCTGTTGTTTCTCTTTTAGGAAGTTTTTTTAATTTTTGTCTTTGTTTCTTTGCACTTGTGAAGTATATTAGAATGCATTGTACAAAGTAAATTATACCAATTTATTTCACAGTAGAGTTGTAACTGGATGATTAGGAGACATCTGGCTTACACTTGATTTTAATTTATCAGCATGCATTGTATTTTTTAATATACTTACACAATATGATGCATAAAATCCACCCATCCATTGTCTTTACCCACTTCATCCTTTTCGGGTCGTGGGGATCACTGGTGCCCATGTCCAGCTATCACTGTGCGAGAGGCGGGGGACATCCTGGACAGGTCTCCAGTCCATCACAGGGACACATGGAGACAAACAACCATTCACTCTCATTCACATCTAGGGACAATTTAGAGTTGCCAATTATCCTAGCATGCTTGGGTTATGCTCCTAGCAGTTTCTCTTCATCTTGGCATTGATTCTACAAGTCTCTATAAAAGGGCAAAACATCATTCTACTGGAAGATATTTCCTCATTTGAGGTCTTACTGGGCTTCTTTTTTTTAACCAAACAGTTCTGCGAAATGGCTGCAAAGCCCAGTTCGTCTTTATGCCGCCTTTGACCATCCATAAATCACTGACGGAGCCGCAGCCTCATCCTGCACAGATGTGAGCTTTCAGAAATAAAGCAAGCTTCACCGAACCAAAGGAGGCGTGGAGCAGAACTCAGATGTGCAACTAATTAAATGTGAGACAGACGTCTCCCTCGGATCGTTTTCAAAACATGATGGATTAACTCGGTTTAGCGATTCCCTTTGTGGTGTTTTTTTTTTTAACTAAATACGAAGTTGCCATGCATCATCAGTGACCCTCCCTTGGTTATAAATCTGTTTGTTTCTGTTTAATTCCATAATCCTCACACAGACCATACATTTCACATCATCGTGCTATTGAGCCGCAAAGTTTAAACCTTTTCTCATACTGGCTGTTACTGCCTTCCTTTGTGGCATAACTGAGCATCAGAGGTGGACTGGCTTCGATCCTCCTTGCTGCCTTGGTCCGTTCAGAAATCACACTGAGGTGGCCAGAAGGCACCCAAGTCAGGGTATGACGTGTACTAACAAGGAGCTGTCATGTGTGATTACATTTTAGAAGCTATGTATGTATACTAGTGCCACCTCCTCAGTCCTCAGGCAGCCTTCCGCACATCTCTAGGTGTAAAACACAAAAACTAAAACCTGTGTTAGGCTGTTGGGGTATGAATGGAGGAGGGAAACAACTTTTGCTTTCTGTTTGATTTTTTTTGTTTGTTTGTTTTTTTGCATAGAAGTATAGTTTGCTCAAATGATTTACTGGGGAGCACAATCTCCGCTTTTCCAAAATTGTGGGGGTATTTCCGCCTATGTATGAGTTTCCCCATGTGTACAAGACAGCAAAGACCAAAGTGTACGATTCACCTTTATCACACTCATCAAATCATTCAGTGACCCTATGGATAGGGGCATTGTCATCCTGGAAGGGACCACTCCCATCGGGATAGAGACGTTTCATCACAGAACCAAAGGTGATCACACAGAAAAACTTTGTATCGATTTGTGCTGACCCTGCTTTTTCTAAGAGAACAAGTGGATCCAAAGATGCTAGCAAAATAACTTCACTGCTGAGAGTCACTGAAGACCCTGGCTGCTGGAATTATTACTTCTTTTTCATTTAATTCGTCATCTGTCTTTATGAGCAGTCAGGAAATGTAATGAGTCTTTCAAGGAGGCTGTCTTGGAAATAGGTTAATAGATTATGTAGGCAACGGTGCGAATACTGCTTAAGTAGACTCTTTTTTTTTCTAAACTGGTTTGCAGTGAGGGTGCAACATTTTTTCATATAAAATGATGACCTTAAAAAACAGAAATAAGTGAAGCTAATGTAAAACATAGTAAATATACTTTAATTGCTATAATCAAATTGTGCAAAGAAAGAAACTCTCCAAAAAACACTGTTTACCCTAACTTCAAGTGAGAAAAGAAAATCTGTTTCTTTGAACTGTCGCTTTGTTTTTGCAACGTTTTTTTTTTTTTTTTTTTTTTACAATTTTACTCAATATAATGGGCACAAACTAAAAACAAAAAAATGTCAGACAGGGATACTCCTAAGCTTTGATTTATTTTCCATGAGTGGTAAACAGGATGTACTGGAAACGTATGGAGTTGACGAGATAACCGATATGCAAAAACGGCACAGAATACTCCATTTCCCCTTGTGACATCACAGACATAAAGTTTTTGAAGTATCTCACTGACAGTTTGAATTATTGTAGCGATAACATGGTGAAATTATAATGTGTTATATATTGGGAGATGTCTTAAAATAATGACAACATTAAAGTGTTTTGCATAAGTATTATTTTAAGCTGTGACTGAGAAAATGCTGCTACTATCCAGATAAATCAGATGTGCACGCAGAATAAATGTCTGATGAAATTATTTTTTAAAATAGGGTTTCCAGTTGAACTTACCTTCACCTCTTTGTCGACAATAAGCTTCATCGAGGCAATCAAGGTCAAGGAAAGTTCCAAAGACCTTTGGCTGTCCCACCCTTCCCTACACCCAAGTTTTAGTGGGCCTAATGAGGCAGACAGCTGCTCCCTTAGCTGAATACCTCTGCGGTGAACCGTCCCTAGGAGGAGCATAGACAATGTCACCTTCAAATTCAGACAAATACGTGTACAATTGGAAACTAAAACAGATCTGCTAAATTAAAAGAAACAGTACAGATCATTTCTTTGTGGGCAGGGAATTCCTTGCAGACACGTACAGCTTCCAGCATTAATTCAACAACTCTAATCCAATTGTTGCTCACTGTCATAGCTCGAGTGGTGGGTCTGGGCTTTTTTTCTAATCACAGTTCTCTTCAAAGGAGTATTGGTTTTAGATATGTGTTTCTGAAGCTAGACAGAGTTCAATAAAACACAGCCTGGATAAAAATACTTCTGCAATGTAATTAGGGGACTTTGCTGAGACGACAAGTACAAATGTGCAATAAGAAGGTAAAATCCAGCGAGGCTGGGTGATTAGGTCTCATTTGGATGTATTCGGCACACTGTGACAAGCGCCTGTTTCAGGGCACGGCAGTGGCTCGGATCGAAGGCTCACAGTGTCTGGGATTATGTGTCAATTTACCACCCAGCTGCAGCTCTACACTCTACAGCAGAACATGACTACCTCTAATTAGGCCATGCTACCAATTAGGGTCTTGCAATAAGGCAACAAGAAAGGCACTTGGGAAGACTAAACCCTACCATTGTTGCTACCATAAAAAGAAACCTCAGCCCTCGAGCTCCAACAGCTGTTTAAAGATGGGGACCGTTTCAACCAGACCCCCATTAAACTATTTCTGGTTTATTGTGATGCAATGGAGATGATCATTTCACTGTATATTGTGAAAACAGGGGCAAACTGTGTCATGTTTCAAGTCTGAATAAGTGAATGAAAATCAAAACCACTAAGAACCAGTTCAAAGAAGCTTCATCCACAACCCTAACCTCAACCTCTGTTTTATAATTCCACAGGTAGCCAGGGTCAGTTCCCCATCACTCAGAATGTGACGGTGGTGGAGGGGGGCACAGCCAACATGACCTGTCGCGTGGATTACAATGATAACACTTCCCTCCAGTGGTCAAACCCTGCACAACAAACTCTGTTTTTTGGAGACAAGAAAGGTAAGAAATGTGCCAAAAATAAAGTTAACCCCATAAAGATATGCGAGGCAGGTTGTACGTCATTAGTATAATTAATTTTATAATTTTGAACGTTCCAAACTCTTTCTTCCTTTCTGCCCAGAAGCTCACAGTTTGACTGATTACACAACAGACACGACATGAAGAAAATACATTCATTTCTTGTAATGCTAAAGCAGGCTTTTAATGATTTTATTTCTCCGTTGATGTCCCAGGGCACAAACTAAACAGAAATAGACTGATTTTTTTTTTTTTTTTTTTTTGTATTATACTTTTGTAATCATGCTACACTGACAGTGCTGTTTACAGCAGCGTAACGCCTGTGGATGCTGAGATGATTGGGCTTAATTAGTGTCTGTGCTGCCCTAAATTTGTATAGTTGTTTTGATGTCACTCTGTTATGGAAGTAGACTGTTGCAATCTTGTGCAACAAAGCCTCTGCTAGAATAAAAAAAATGTGCTCTCACCAGCCAAATCCAATTTAAAGGTGACAAAAGTCTAGATTTGATAAATTGGAACGGGGTGAAAGGAAGTATAGCAGTGGACTGGTCTTGTAAGGGTCGGGGTGCTCCTCTATCAGTGTTGCTCTCAGCATATTACCCATTTCATTTATGCTGTAGCTGCTAATACAATATCATTGGTTCAGTGATTGAAGATGAACTTTCCCTCTGAATAACAACTGATAGCAGAGGAAGATGCTAGAGTGAACCAGCAGAATGAGAGTCGCAGTCGGGTTCGAAGAAATACTTTCCCTCTTGCAGCTGATTGGATTTAGTGATGAGGTCTAAGGTGTTTTATTAGATGAAATTACTTCCAAACACAATTAAATGAAACTTAACTGAATCTTAAACAGATCCTCTTGTGTGAGTGATGTTAGTGTGCTCTAGAATTACAGCAGAAATAACAGTACCAAAGAAAAATATATATTAAATTTCAGTTTATATAGTGTAAAATAAAGTCAATAAATGTGTTTTGCATTGGTTGTTTATCAAAATCTTCACCCCTCTGTTCAGTAAGGAGAGCTTGGAATACATAAACCCACTTTGCTCATCTTGGGTAACCATTTATATTGCATGACAGAATCTGTTTCCCGAGCAATAAGAATGACAAAATTAATGTTATTCAGTCATGTTGACAGAGCTAAGTGTGGGAACACTTGCTCCACATCTCCTGCAGCCAAATAAAAAGCTTTATTGGCACAACTAACTCGATGCCTATGAGGCTATCAGCAGAAATGGGAGGCGTTGATCAACACAAGCTTCATATGGAGAACAGAGTGGGACACCTGGAAAGAAATCTCTGCCGTGCCAAATCACCAGTTAATTGCTTGGCATGGAGCTGCAAACTGTCCTTCACTTGTTTGTTGTGGCCTCTTGTACAATGGAAACTCTTACATTAAACTCTACATTGATTTTCAGTTCAACATTTAAGGGTTATACACGAGGCAGGTTTGTTCATTCCAGCTAACCAACTAGTCAGAGATATAATATCTCAGATTATGGCAGTAAAGAAGCGTTGCAGTGGTCTCCGTTTTAGTATTTTAGGTTGGCACTCTGTTGATATATATCTCTTGCGCTGTGTCGCTCTGCGGCATGAAAACATCCATTGCAGTAACTATTTTAAGCTATAAGTAGCTTAGAGGTTTTTCAAAAAGCGTTCAATACAAATATATAGGCTTAGGCTTATATATATACGCTTAGAGGTTTTTATCTTTATTATTTTTGCCTGTCGTCCTTGCCGTAATATTGGTTGATAAGGCAAAAATGCCTCACTAATTGTCTCAGGTAACGCCATGAGTTTCGCTACCTCCACCATTACAGCTAGCTTGTTTGTTAGTTTGTCCGAGGTTAGCCCACAATGGGTTACATTTCCTCATAGGCGGAGCAATCATACCGTTTACATAAAATATTTGATCATGTTATAGAAACAATTGCTGAATGTGGTCCATACTGTGTTAATGCTACTTGTTCTCTCTTGACCATAAAACTTAGTAATGTTACATTAGACCTAGCCCACTATTGGAGTTTTAATTAGGTATTTTAAGCTACTAATAAACATGATGGATGACGATCATATTGCTTTATGCTAGGCCACTGCTAAGAAGAAGTGATTATTATTATTGTTTTATATTGCCTAGTGATTTTTTTTAACCCTAAAAGTTAACTTAGGCTACACTATGTTTCTTAGACTGTGGTTGAGAGAAGCAGAGCATGCTCTATTCACACAAGGAGAGCTGTTGGTCAGGCTACTTCTTTTTGTGCCATTAACTCTAAAATAGTTATTGAATAGTTTACTTATGTAGGTAAAACTAGATGTTTAACAACCCGTTAAAACACACAGGAATGCAGGAAATGGCATTTACTTTATTCAAAGTTTTCTGGGGAGGGCCCCCAGATGCACCCCCACCCCCACACACACACTACCACCACATTCCAAATGCTTCTGACACCAATGACCACTGCACTGCTAACCATGTACACATATGATGTCATATGGTGTTCTAAGTTCACTCAAGTTATCTCGGTCTTTGTGTTAATCGGGTGGTGGTGGCCTGGAATGGTATCTAATTCCCGGCCTGGATTATTGTCCCAGTCCGCCCCCGTCTATTTCTCTGTACTTCGTGTCTGTGCTTGTTGCTGCTGTTGTGCGTCTCTCCGTGACGTCTGGGGAGTCTATGACAATCTGATTCTTTCTCTGCACGGGAAAATTCCACACCTTTGTTAAAAGTAACACAAAAGATACGACATTTTACAAACTGTCATCTGCGATTGTGTACGTTCACAAAAGCAAGTAATGATTCTTTGAGTGATTTTTTTTTATCAACTTTATCTTATTTCCGCACGCTTAGTAATAAAGATAAGGGTTTTGTCTTGATGTGTTTGAACACTGAAAAAATATATAGAGTGGCAGGAAAAGGGATATTAAAATGCCCTTTGAATTTCTCTGAGACTGGTTTTCTGTATTATATCAACTGAGTTATATCACTGCTGGGAAACGAAAGACAAAATCTGATCTCAGACCTGTCTACAATTTTTTCATTTTGATTCAGGTCTGCAAAGACTGAGATAAAAAATGAAACTTACAAATATGGATGTAAGGATTTCTGGTCATTTTGGGCAGTTAGAATGAATTGGAAGAGAACATATCACTCACCACCTTTCATGCCAGATTTTTAGACTAAGATCATCTTATGTTGAGAAATTAGTTATAGTCATTTTGGTGAAACCATGAAAATAACATTATACTTATTCCCAAGCAATTCTGTGACATCCAGTGTGATCTGGTAGCATTTGGAGTATGTGTTGTGAATGACTTGAATACTATTACATCCAACTTTAGCTTAATTTCTGTAAAATTCACAGAGATATGGCCAGTTTTGTGGAGGCTACGGTTGAGCTGTGGCTGCAATCTTGAATTGGACTGACTTAAAAAGTTAATTAGTTTTAGATATACAGCCAGTTATTGCTTTGTGAGAGTTTTGTTGAAATTTGTTCAGTAGTTCACAAAATATTTTGTTAACAGACGAGCAGGGTTGACTCCAAAAGTTAATGCCAAGTTTTTAAACAACGGTTGTTTTTTAAAATGTGTTGTGCTCAAAGTATATGTCGGAGTTGATGCTTGGCTACCGCTACACCAAATTTTAACTCAATATTTGTCAAATTAGCTGAACTTTAGCCATTTTTGTGTTTGCAAAGATTGCTTTGCTGTGGCAGCCATCTTGGGCTGACTCCAAAACCTAACTGGTTGTAGATATCCATCCAGTTAATACCTTATCGAAGTTGCATTAGAATTCGTTAAGAGGTTCATGCGATATTTTACTAAAAATACAGACAGACACTCACATACAGACAAGTGGAAACAAATCTTGCTCTGCCTCTATTTTTGGTGGCATTAAATAATAATTAATTCATGTCAAAATTGTATGGCAAAACTGTGCAACCTTTAGACTACTCCCGTTGGTTTGAAAAGTTTGAACAATATTTCCCAAAGGACACTCGGGTAAAAATTAAATAAAAAGCATCTTTTTCTGAACAAATATTAACCTTAAGGACTTGCGATCCGTATGGGCTGGACTTTTTTCTGCATGTTTGTATAAAGCAGCAGACAGACCTCTTCTTATATCATGCCAGCTGGCTCCTTGGCATGCTGCTTCTCATCTATTATGTATATCTAAGTCTTGGTTGACTGTCGCCACCACAGAGGCTTCAGATTACATTGCAGCAAAGATCAGGTTCCCACAGACTTGAGAAAACACAGATAAATTGCCTTAATAGCTAAGCCAATGGGTCCCTCATACATTAAGCTAATTAGTGGTCACTGCCCAGTACTGGCATTCTGGTGGGCTGCCATGATGGGGAAAAAAAGGATTTAAACCACATGACTTTTTTAGAATTATCCCTTTTATAAGTCACCATTGTTGTGAATTATTTTACTGAGCAGGACAAATGAGAACAGAGCTGTCCTTTGCTGTCTTTATGATGATTTATTTCATTTTTGGCTTTTGTGGGAAAATGACTAGAGAGGAGCTGTAGAGAATGGTAATGGCACTCATGGAGGCATACAGGGTTTACTTGTCCAACATGTACAGCATGAATCTTTATTATGCAATTATTAAAAAGGTTATTGAGGGCTACATGTCAAAGGTAGATGAGCAATGTGTCTGTGACTTTATATGTATATCTAAAATTTTACAGCACTTGTCACCATTTCTCCATATCAGTCTTGTGTTTTAGAAGTTCACGGTTCATCGTTCACGGCATTTAATTGAGGAATTCAGACTGAATCATAAAGGTCACAAAGCAAAATTGATCTTAATTGGCTTGTTGTAATCAAAATGCTGTTATGTGCTAAATGAATGCTCTAATGTGAGCATTAAAACATTCATTAGCCTGAGAGAATGACGGATAATTACCAAGGATGCAATTACTGAAGCAAGCTCTAATGAAAGCACATTTAAATCTCTCTTTGAGTAAATCCACAAT